AATAAGTCGTTTGACGATTAAAACTATCTTGAAAGTTAGTTATGATCATTCTTTTGAAAACAAAAACAAAAACACTTGGTAGCCTTTAAGGACTTCCCACCCTTCGTAATACACATGTTTTTTCTTGTTGTATTTTCGTGTCGTCATTTCCGTATTGCGTATCAGGCATTCCATTACCGTAGTGTTAATTATAGTAACACCGAGTAAACAATAGTACACATTCGTGACGATGATATGTCAACACCCGATATCGAGACTAACTTGGAAATGTGTAATCACACGTGCTTCTAAAATAAAGCTTATGATAGAAAGACATTAATTTACTCACGGGAAGACACTGACATAAGAGCAGACGTCTTCCAGAAGGTCGTATATGAGGCGAATGGAATGCAGACTGATGTGTTTTATTTACCGACCTCACCTGTACGTATCACGCAGGCGCGTAGCTACCATGTAAGCCAATAAGCCCGGGCTTACACGTTTAGGTTTTCATGACGGTTTTTTTTAAATGACGAAAACTGTCTTCTGGAGCCTGCCCAATTACAACACAACAGAATTTTAAAAAATCACGGTGCTTTCTATTTTTTTACTTTGTCAGATTGCGCATAAAAATACCTTCTATAATGGACGTATATAAAACTAAAATTTGATTTTCTTCCATGTCCACAAAATGTTTATGAAACCAGAAGACGAAACGGTGTCGGAGACTGCAAAGCTAGGCATGACGATGATAGTGGGGGCAACCTCGCTTCTCGAAATGCTCAACAAATAACAGGAGCAAGTATAAGGAACCAGTCACAAAGCACAAACAGGAGACGAAACAGTGTGGGAGACTGAGTAAAGGTGACAGTGGGGGTAACCTCGCTTCCCAATTAACTCGGATCAGATTATGAGAAAGACAAACCCAATTGCATGTTCACTAATGCAGAAGTATCAAATGCATAAGCAAGATTAGGTAAAAAACAAACAATGTATGTATGGAGGGTGTACAAAGCAATAACGATGGTTAATATTCAGAATTACACGTAAATAGGTATATATATATACCAAAAATAGGACTTTTTTCTTGCGGATTTAAACGAGAAAACAGACATCAGGACGTGGGAAATGGCTCCCGAGACGTTCTAGAAAACAAAATTTTCATGGGGGAGACCCCCCAGAGACGTTCTAGAAAACAGAATTTTCATGAGGGAGACCCCCTAGACTCCCCCACCCCCCTCCCCCTTACGGGAGGGGGAAGACACCCTCCCGTACCCTTCCCCTGCTCGCGCTACGCGCTTCGGGGGGAGCTGCCTTTGGCAACCCCATGTCGGGCTTTCACATTGTAAAGGGGCTAGCTACGCGCCTGNTTCACAAGCTCTTGGTCGCTACGACTTTTGTTGTCGAGCGAGTTACGCTCTGTCAGATAAATCGTTTCACAAATGCAATAACTCTGTGAAAATAGTGGTTTGTAAAATATCAAGTTCCCTATAAAATGCAAGTCATGTATGTGCACGTGATAACGGCATACCATGCGATAGCCTAAATATACCATGTGTAAGCGGGCTATGAAATGATGTCCAAAGTGTACATGATTGAGAGTAATTTTGTTCCATAAAAGAACAGTAACTTGACAATGAAATATAGTAATTTAATCTATTTCCGTCGTTTTTGGTTTAGTAAAGAAAATAAGTGTCATTGTATAAATTCTATCCCTCTGTAAAAAGTTCCGATTTTTTTCAAGGTAGACAACTCTCATCAAGATCAAAGGGCCTGTTTCCAGTAATGTTAATTNCAGATCCGGATCTATCTAGACGGGCAAGGTCCGAGTTTGTCAAGATGGATGCATCTTCCGTACTGTTTCCCCGTCTCGATCTTGATTACTTGAGAACCATTACGTGTGGAACGTATCAGATATCTCTGGCTCCTGGTTACATCGCCGAACATTTAAGTGATGACGGAGACTATGAGGTGTGGCTTTACCAGCACTCCCCAGACCTTCTCCGATGTCAAATACATTCTCGACACAAAAGCCAAACGAAATATAACGTTTGGATACGGTTCACCGTTTCACCCGATGTTGAGGCCCCAATAAAGGACTACTACTGCCAGTGCCCAGTTGGAGAGAGAACGATGGGAATGTGTGCGCACATCTCCAGTATCTTGTACTACCTTGGGTATTACAGGACGCTGGAAAACCCTCGACCATTACAACCACAGGTAAAGAAATTCCGACAAAACTTGAAATAGTTTTCCATGCGGCAACGGAGTGCATATGTCGAAAGTATGTTTGGGGCTCGATATGAAAGATCCCCGTTACCATGTGACTAACCAAACTTATAAATATAGGTATTATACAATCGCCCGTAGCTATGAACACTCCCGTAAATGCGAAAACCAACCAAAATCATAAGGAACACGTTTTGTTTGTTGTTCTGTCTATTTGTCAGCCAATGTCTTCAACCACGGGGACTTGTGAAGTAGCCATCTTGGATTTTTTTTATGAAAAAGTGTTTCTCTCACTTTTTTTCATATCTGTGTACATATTCTCAACATACCGAGCAAATACTCTCGTTTTTTTGTTAATTATCTAAAGAAAGTCGAAAATCGGCAATTCAACCATAGGCTAATTCAACCCAACATTTGAAAATGTTCCACCACTTACATTTTGATGATTTTTCCTCTCATCAATAGCATATTACGTACTGTTTAATAGGATAAAAATTGGTTTGCATCCAACGCCCATAAAAGGGTGTATTCTCTAAAAAACACAGTTTTTGTGTCTAAAATGTTATCATCGAAAATGGCATTTTTGAGATTGTTTCTTCCATAAAACAGCCAAATGGCGCGATGGAAACATGATTTTTTGTCACAATCATGCCATGAATGTATTCTTTACGGTGACCATCATTTGATTAGATTTTCATTAATATTTTACATAACATGCACATTTTATCAACACTTAGACAGCTTCTGAAAGGTACAACTTTGAGGAGCCATAAAAAACAAACCAAGTGACCTAAATCTTTATACTTTATAGATTTGTGACCACAACGGCATGGGCAATGCACCACCAACAGGAAATTTGAATCAGAGAAGGGGCCGTTTCGGAAACCGGCCCTTTATTGTAAAATGTAATATAAATGAATTATAAAGACTTTGTGTGTATTTGGTTCAATTTTTCACTCTTTTTGTATGACTCTATGTGTCCTGTTTGCTTTAAGCTTGTATTTAGTAATTTAAATCCATACAATTTCAATAAAAAAAAACGCTTTTTGTAACATGTTGTAGATATTTTATGATAAATAAAATATTTTTAGGGTTGATTAGCAATGTTTCATTATTTATTGTTGTAATGGTTTAGAACAATGCCACACACTCAAAAAATGTGAAAGAGTTGAATTTGACAAATAATAATTTTTTCGGTATTTTTTACCAAAAAATCCCCAGATTATCGGAGGTTAGATTTCATAAAATCATCTATACATATTGACATAACCATTATGTGAAACTTGCATTGAATTCTGCTGGCTAATTGCGAAAGGGTGGAGCCACCTTAATCTGAGCTTGTTACTGGCAATATAGCTTCTCCCTTGGCCTTTTGGAAGGGTTTTCAGATGAAGTTGTTTACATTTTTTTCAAACATTTACAACCAGTGACCTTGACAACGAGTGAAGGTAAATTGTTGGAACAGCATTGTAGCTCTCCATCCCAGTATTTTACCGGGCATATCTCATCACTGTGTGCCGCTTAATGTTTTAGATTTAAATTGTTTGAAGATTTTAACACATTTGACCCATGTGAACTTGAAGGTCAGTTATTGTCATTGATTTGGAAAAAGAAACTGTGACAATTTGTCCAAGCATGATACTGGCCATATATCATCACTCTCGACATTTTGGTTATTCAGAAGAACTTGTTTGAAGATTTTGTTAAACATTTGACCCCGGTGACGTAAGAAGTAGGGAAAATATTATTTGTTTAAACGAATCTTATAAAACTTTATCCGGGCTTGCTACTGGCCAAATAATCACTCTCGGCCTATTGTTATAAAGAAGAAGTTATTTTGTTTTAAATAAGTTAATGCCGGAAGAACAGTCGACGAACGCCACAAAACGGTATAAACGCATATGGCCTGTCGGCCATCCTGATTTATCGGCTCAATCCCCAAATTCGATATTTGCAAAAAGGGGAACATACCTACAAAATTTGAAGAAGATCCCCTATTAAGTGTTTTCTGAGAAATAGCGCTATTAACCTCCACCTCTCATAATTCACGATGACCACCTGTCGACCATCTTGGTTTTCTGATCAGTTCCTAGTTGCAATACGCATAGTATACTATAGAGACCAAGAGGACTACGAATATACACATAGAACGTGATATCCTTCTATCGTTAACAAAGTTTAAGCCCCGATAACCTACACTGCCACCTGTTAGGCATTTTAGTTTCTTTTATTGTTAGCCGATAAAGGGCTTAAAGTAGTATTATGGCAGGTAATAGAATTTATAAACGCGTTTAGCTTCTTTCCCAATTCCTCTGAAATTCTATATATGTTTTTTTATACAGTGTAAGTGTGTTACATTATGGAATAATTTGAAAGTTTACCTGAAAATGTTTTGTATGTTATGAGGACAGCATTCATGTAGGATCATATTCGGATAATGGAATCGCTTCTAACCATCACTTAATACATGCAGGTAGGACGCGTATTATGTGATGTGTTATTTACATTATCTAGTCTATATCATCGACGTGCAAATGCTTCTTGTGAATTTCCAAAGCATTTCCATCGAGTCTATCAGCTAAGTGAGTTCTGTGCATCAGAATGCTTTTATAAATGCCAGAACCAGGTATTATTACTTGGTAGATTTTCTGAGGACCATGTTCATTGATAATATGCGGCTGTATTACACATGCTCATCCTTACTTTATTCTTAATCACCATACATAACAGGATAGTAAGCCTCATTACCTAATTCCCAAACATCAAAAGTGAAAGAGCAGTTACAATCTTACCTGATTCCCAAACACCCCGAGAGATGTAGCTGTGGACACTTCGTTCGGTCCAAACCAAACGGCAGCAATGCGGGCTGGAAGTCCAAGAATGAAGATCTGCGCTATTGCACAGACAGTTTGAGCAAACATTAATACAGGGAATCTGTCTGGTGAGACACATGCTAATTTGAGACACGCACCAAGCGCATTGAGGAAGGAACCACATATAGCCACCACACGTAAGCCTTTCTTGTTTAACAAGAACGTTGAAGGGAAAATCAATGGAATGTATGCCAACATATAAATCATGGACAGCCAATCAACAGTTGTCTCCCTTTTAAAATTATCTTCAGGCAAACTCTGATTGTAGTACTTAATGATGACGTTCGCAATTATATTGAGGTGTATCCATTGGTAGGCGTTACTCATGGAGTAGAAGCAGAACAGAAACACCATGATCCACCGCCGCTTATATACCCTCGGCTGGCCACCAGCTGTCGCAATCCTGTCATCCTTGTCGTCCTCAGTAGGGGACTGAGTGAGGATGGGCTTGGCCTGCAGACCATTCTCCAGGGAGGATCCCCGACTCACCGCTTTGCCTGACATATCACAGAAAACAAAGCCAGATGTCAGAATTTAAACAAACAATATTTCAAAAACAAAAATGTTTAGCTGTATAACCTAACAGAATGGTTGGTGTGTAGAGCGATATATTTGAACGCGGCTTTGTTAAACACACTGTCACCAAAGATAACACTAGATAACGTCGTGTGGCCTTGATAGATAAACAAGCCTGTTATACTTGACCAGGAGAACATACAAATTATTACCTACAATATATCGGACCAGTAACATAAACAGGGGTCGTTACATAGGGTCATATCTGACCAGTAACACAAACAGGAGTCGTTACATAGGATATATCTGACCAATAACACAAACAGGAGTCGTTACATAGGATAATCTGACCAGTAACACAAACAGGAGTCGTTACATAGGATATATCGGACAAGTAACATAAACAGGGGTCGTTACATAGGATATATCTGACCAGTAACACAAACAGGAGTTGTTACATAGGATATATCTGACCAGAAACACAAACAGGGGTCGTTACATAGGGCATATCCGACCAGTAACATAAACAGGGGTCGTTACATAGGATATACCTGACCAGTAACATAAACAGGGGTCGTTACATAGGGCATATCTGACCAGTAACATAAACAGGAGTCGTTACATTGGATATATCTGACCAGTAACATAAACAGGAGTTGTTACATAGGATATATCTGACCAGAAACACAAACAGGAGTTGTTACATAGGATATATCTGAGCAGTAACATAAACAGGGGTCGTTACATAGGGCATATCTGACCAGTAACATAAACAGGGGTCGTTACATAGGATATATCTGACCAGTAACATAAACAGGGGTCGTTACATAGGATATATCTGACCAGTAACACAAACGGGGGTTGTTACATAGGATATAACTGACCAGTAACACAAACAGGGGTCGTTACATAGGATATACCTGACCAGTAACACAAACAGGGGTCGTTACATAGGATATATCTGACCAGTAACATAAACAGGAGTTGTTACAAAGGGCATATCTGACCAGTAACACAAACAGGGGTTGTTACATAGGATATATCTGACCAGTAACATAAACAGGGGTCGTTATATAGGATATATCTGACCAGTAACACAAACAGGGGTTGTTACATATGATATATCTGACCAGTAACACAAACAGGGGTCGTTACATAGGATATATCTGACCAGTAACAGAAACAGGTGTCGTTACATAGGATATATCTGACCAGTAACATAAACAGGGGTCGTTACATAGGATATATCTGACCAGTAACACAAACAGGGGTTGTTACATATGATATATCTGACCAGTAACACAAACAGGGGTCGTTACATAGGATATATCTGACCAGAAACACAAACAGGGGTCGTTACATAGGATATATCTGACCAGAAACACAAACAGGAGTCGTTACATAGGATATATCTGACCAGTAACAGAAACAGGTGTCGTTACATAGGATATATCTGACCAGTAACATAAACAGGGGTCGTTACATAGGATATATCTGACCAGTAACAGAAACAGGGGTCGTTACATAGGATATACGTGATCAGTATCATAAACAGGAGTTGTTACATAGGGCATATAGTGCGTATAACTACTGTTTATGTTTGTTACATTTCTTTCCAATTAAAACTTGGACCAATCAGCATACGAAGAAAAGGTTAAGAAAAATAAAACACCTGATAATTACCAGTGTCTAATTTTTCTAGTATATCCATTTTCAGTTAATGATATAGCATTAACAGGTGAAATATTGTGTACAGTCTACGCAGCAACACTGTAGATTTATGATACAGCATTAACAGGTGAAATATTGTGTACAGTCTACGCAGCAACACTGTAGATTTATGATACAGCATTAACAGGTGAAATATTGTGTACAGTCTACGCAGCAACACTGTAGATTNGTTAGTCACCTTGTAAATTTTGCAGAACATACAAACTCCTCTTTTGAAGACCTCCACGAGAAGAAAATGGAGTCTTGTTGTCCGAGGGGTGAAGGGTGACATTAGAGAAAACCCAAGGGATACAGAGAGAGCAGTGAGGTCATTTATCAAGGAAAAGTTACAGATGGAGGAGAGTTTTATCAACGGAGTACTCTCTACAGCAGGATATCGTCTTCCCGGAGAGTTGTAAAGAAAACGAAACATTAGTATCCGGCTTAGCAGTTTGCTAGATCGCTTTGACATTTAAACAGTAGCTTTTAAACTTGAAAAGTGTTTGGGGTATAGCATAGTACCAGATACGCCACATTCGGTCAGTAAGAGGCGGGCAGCCCTTTTGGACAGGCGTTGGAAGTTGCCGCCGAGGGAAAAGGAAAAGTACAGATTGGTAAACCTAAAGGACTTTCCGTTTATGGATCTTGCTTAGAAAAAAGGAAAAAGAGAACAATGAATATATCTGTTAAAACCTAAGACTTGACAAAGAATTTATGGGGCTTTTTTTTGTTTTTTGTTTTTGTTTTTGTTTTTTATTTTTTGATTGGTTTTTGTTCAACTATTAAATTATGATAATGAACTCGTTATAGGTAACAGTGTTTTGGTCATGTTTCATAAATATTGTCACAAAGTAATGTATGGTCCATTACCATATATACTGTCACATATATACTGTCACCTATAACTATGGTCCTGTCCCATATATATCGTCAAATATACTACTCACATTTTGCTAAGGATCCCTTTTATTTTTTGGCATATGTGAAAATAAATATTTTATTTGGTTTATAATGAGATTAGTTTTAAAAAATTGATTGTTGTTTTAATTCATCAGCATGCAATAATTCCAAAAATTGTAATAACAGTCGGACAATGAGCCACAGGAAAAGGGTTACCCTTAAAATTGGTAACAACATGGTAGGTATTCACAAACAAGCTGAAATTGAACAAAACACATCCTAATTAAACAGAAACTGTTTTAGTATCGAGTGTGACGTAATGAGCATCAATTACTGCTTCACAATGTCTGTGCATGCGCCGAATGAGATCGCGTATCCGGATTTGTGAGATAGCGTTCCACTCAGCTACCAAAGCTGTTCCCAGCTCCTGGAGCGTTCTTGGCTGAACATTTCTGGCAGAGAGAGCTGTCTGAAGCATGTCCCACACATGCTCGATGGGATTTAGATCCGGCGAGCGTGCTGGCCAATCCATTCGTTGAATAGTCTCTTGCTGTAGATACTGCTCAGTCCCCCTTTCTCTATATGGCCCAGCATTATCGTCCATAAGGATGAAGTCAGGGGCGATAGCGCCAGGGTAGGGTCTGACATAGGCATCAAGGATTCCATCGCAGTGAGTCCGGGCCGTAACGGTTATGTTACACAACGTTACCTGCCTGTAACCTCTCCCCGGGTTGTCTCCATACTCTAACGCGCCTGTCGGTGAAGTCGAGACAGAATCTGAATCGGTAAAAAGAATCGGTTCCCATTCCTGAAGGGTCAAAGTGCAGTGAGCTTGGGCCCAATCTAATCGGTCCCTAACATGGCGGGCAGTTAAAGAAACTCGTATTTCCGGTCTACATGACCTTAAACCAGCATCATGAAGACGGTTCCTAACTGTCTGAGTGGCTACCCGGGTACCAGAAGCATTTAGGAGGTCATTTCGTAAAGCTGTGGCAGTCTAGAACCTGTGACGCCGTGCATATATGAGCAAAATTCGGTCTTGGAGCTGCGTTGTAGCCCTAGAACGACCTCCAGCATGACGTCTGGAAGGGTTTCCGTTAGTTTGGAAACGATTCCACATTCTTGCCACCACAAGGTCTGTTTCAACCTGACGTTGAGACATGCTAGCTTGCAGCATTCCGATGCCCCTATTAATTTTACCGTTATTTAACCGTTGGTCTTTGTGCCATACTTAAGGTCATAGGAGTGTATTGATAAACGGAAGTAGGAAGTACATCCCTAGTTGAAAATCCAATGTAGGGAGACAGTATCACAATTTCCGCATATTCTATTGTTTAATATTAAACTGATGAATATTGTATATTCATTATTGACAGAACAGTGTTTTCTCTCAATATTAAAGTATTTCAAAGCAATGCAGGCATTGATTCAGGGTTTTTTTTATCAATGAGCCACATGTATCCATTTTTCTGTATTTCAGGAAACCGGCTACCTATTTCACTACTGTGAAGTTTTTCAAGAAAGATAACTCTTACCTGCAATTACTATGTGCAAATGGTTTTATTATAAAATGTCAATTTTTATTCGTTTATTGATATTTTTTTTGACATAATTTCAGCATTTATTAAATTGATATACATTAATGCAATACTAATCTATGGTAGTATATTTTTTATTGACATTATTTTGCAAAACATTGTGTCTTTCTTTTTTCTCCTCAAAAGTCACTCCTTTTTACATAAATTTCCATTTAAATAACAGGAGTTGTTACATAGGATATAAGTGACCCCAGCTAAACGGAAAACTTTAGCATAGTACAATTGATTAACAAAGTCAAATTAACGGTAAACTGTAGGTGAAATTCAAAATCTGAATTGTGTGTAGGGATGCCCATGCATAGATAAAAGTATAATCCAGGTTTGGTTACGACAGCACATATACTTTGTGAGAAATTAAACTGAACCCCCAGCTAAACGGAAAACTTTAACATGGCCCAATTAACAAAGTCCAATTAACTGTAAATTTTATTTGAAATTCTGAATCTAAAATGTGTGTTTAGATGGCTATATGTAGATATAAGTATATTTCAGATTTCATTATGATAGTTTATGTACTTAGAGAGAAATTTAGAGTTTGACAGAAATGTTGACGTCGCCGTATACGCCGCTGTCGAAAAAGTAATGCGTATGTCTCGCTTCGCGACTCCGTCGCAGGCGAGACAAAAACAGCGACAGTATATATGGTACATGACCATAGTTATATGAAATACTCACATTTTGCTAAGGATCACCTATATTTTGAAAACAAAACATCAAAATGTTAGAATGGATATTATATTTTCCTTCCGTGCTGTTTTGGGCGAATGTGGGTG